CCCCAAAACCCCAAAACCCCAAAACCCCTTTCTTCATTTACAAAATTGAAAACTACATGGGCCCAAAATTGATTCTAAAACAAAATTGAAAAGCTAGACTATCCTTGTTAGGTTCTAGAAAGCCTTAAAGCCCCCTGACATGGCTCTCGGAAACATTAGAACCTTCTTCTTGTCTATGGTGCTCGATCAGAGCCCTGACAATTGCTCTTCTTTGCTTAAACCTCTTTCTCTTGGATCATGAGCATCAGCAGCAACAGTTATTGACAAATCAGGACAGGAAATTAACTTGGCAATTGTAGAGTTTAAACCTGCACTTTGAGCAGCATTTGTTTCTGAATTTCCCCATGTAAGTTTCTTCTATGAATTTCTTGGACTTCAGTGTCAATCAATTTGGTAAACCGAGGTTGTTTAAGACTATTGATCCCCTCCATTTGTTGTAGTACACTGCAGACAGGTTGTCGATGGCATAAGTCATCTTGGACAATTTACCACCGTAAGAAACTGCTTTGAGGTTTTTTTTAACAGTGTATGAAGTCTCTCTGATTGAAGGGACATTTTTGATTTCCTGCATTGGAGAAAAGCAAGCATCACCATATCAGAAAATGTTATCATATGTTTGGTGATCGGCTGATGCTGATTTGGTTGGATCTTGCGAAGTTACCTGGAAGTATTGATTTACAAAAATTCTTCCTCTTTGGTCAACTCAGTTCTCGAAGTTTTTTGTCATAAATGGGGTATAGTATTCCATCCCTGCTCACATTAACGTATAATCATATTTTTGAGCGATTTCATCTTCAGGAGAGTAATATTTTCCAAGATATCTGAACATTAAATTAAAATCTTACCATTCTTTGAAAGTCCTCTTTGCATTAAAGTAGTTATAAGCTCTCCTAGAGACTCCTGTTGGAAATCCCGTCAATAGCCTATCTTGGCTATTCAGGAGTCCGTATTCCTTGCTAGTTCCATATTTATCAACTATTTCACCAAGTGCTTCTACACCGGTAGGGCCTCCACCAACCACAAGAACTTGAGCTGCCTCATCTATCTCTTCATGATACTTCTGAATCAGCTTGGATCTTTCATATTTCGAAAAGATATTGGCGACATCTTCTGCTGAGCCTTCATTTATTTTGTAAACAGCTCCTGTGCAGATCACTATTTTATCAAAATTTTTAGCTTACCAAGCAAGTCAAATTCTAAGATTTCTTCTTGGACATTCTCCAATTCCTTAGCTGAGTCTAAGCCTTTAGTTGGTTTGTATTTTAAAGCTGTCTGATCAGTGATTTCAGTTACCATTCCTTGGAGATACCTGACATTGGGCCCAAAGACTCTATCAACAGTGAGACATTGATGCAGGTCAACTGTTGCATCTTTGTTGAAGTATTCTGGGTTGACTATTGAATGAGGAAGGGAGCAAATCCATTCAAAGTGGTCCTTCTTCTCTATCAGCACGACTTCAAAATCATCCTTGACCTTATCAAGTAAAAGAAGGCCGGCGAAGCTACCTCCTACAATGACAAGTCTTTTCTTTTGCGGCTGGGTATTCCCCATTTAAGTTTTGATATTCTCTTAAATTAATAGTTTTTCAATAGATTTCTCTACAATAGGGGTTTTGGGGTTTTGGGGTTTTGGGG